TTATGCGCTAGATCTAGTAGACAGCCGAATATGAGTGTTTGTTGTGGTGTTCTTTGGAAAATAAGTTAGGGTCTAGTATATTCTTACACTAAGTAATGAGCCATTTCTACATTTGTGACTGTTAAAAAATAATGTTACATATAGCCTAATTATTTTTATTAAGATTGAATCTGGGAAGGTGTAGATCTATATAACCAATGTGAGCAAAATTATAAAAGTAACAGACTTTACTACGCTTAAAAGTAGTTGTATGTTAAATCTAACTGCATTTTTGCATTCAGCGTGCCAATTAACATACAAAAGAAATACCAGTCTCATGTCTGTAACAATTATCATTTTATGAAAGTTTATACTTGCATAGATGTGTTTTTGCCAATGTGCGAAATGAGTCATTCGTTCATTTTCATGATGGCAAACTTCATACATTCTTTGTCCCTGCATTGTTATCAACAACATCATGAAGTTCTGACCTTATGGAATAATAAATTTTCCAGCAACAAGCCTCTGATATTGGCCTTTTGTGATGTAGCAAGCAACTATTCACTGAAAAGCCATTTTTATACAATTTTATGGGTTTACGAAATCAGAATTATAAGTCTGAGGATTTCTTTAGGCTTTGTATGCTTCAATATTGTCCTTGACTTCAAGAAAACACAATAAATGAGTATGTGCATTGTTATTACATGATTGTGTGACTGCTCGAAGTCCTGTTTTTTCCTCGTTTAGCATGCTGAGTGAAATTTTCTCCTTTTTTGAAAGAATTTGAACCTTAATTTATTGTCTGATTTTAATGTTTGTGACCACATAAGAAAACCTACTTTGAAACAATCTGAATTTTTTCTTTGTGGTACCTACTTGACAATAAACCAGTTTGGTAAACAGACTTGGGATTTTCATTGGCCGCATTAAAAATGTTTGGTCAACTTCATCCTTTCTGGTCACTCGCTGTCACTACTTACTTGTCAGTTCTAATCTTTACCACAGCAAAATCTCGTGATCTTTATGTACCCAGCTTATAGGCACAGCTTATAGGCACAGACATTGCAATTTCTGGTCACTTGCTGTCGTGACTTACTTGTCAATTATTATTCCCACTGCATGATGAAGCCATCTACCCACCCCCAACTGTATTAAATAACACTGCTTTTGATCTAAATGTACCCAATCCCTGGTCAGTTACTGCAACCTTACAGGGGCAATAGGGTGGAACTTACGGTAGACTGCCTCGATTGCGGAAGACTATGGTCAATTGAGCGGGACTTATGCCTTTCCGCTTTAGACTGCCAAGAATGGTGACGAGCAGCTCCCCCCCAGATATGAAGAGAGTAACACATGGAAATCACATGCTTTCCAAACATGTACCCATTTCATTGTTGGAGAGAAAATGATGACACAGACAGGGCAACATAACCTGTCATCGTTGGGATGACAATAGGAAGGGTGTGTGTAACTGTCTCAACTTATTTCAAAATGCTCTTTACGATTACAGAATGCCCTCCCAGCAAAGCATCTATTCAGATAAGAGGCTGTTTAAAACTGTTTCCATAATAGTACAAACTGTGGTCTCTGATATATGGCATCAGCATATTGCTCATTTGTGCTGCTTTCACACAATAAATGTTAATATCTAATTCACCTAGGACTATTCCTGCAACAGTCATCAATTAGAGCAAAGTTTACAATAAACTTAGTCCTTTACATAAGTCAATGAATAAATGCCAAAGGCACCCCATTGCTGTAAGTCAACCACAATGTGATTCAGTAGTAAGAGGTAGTCGAAAATCTAAAGACACAGTTGGCAATAGAATAATGAATACAACAAAAATCACAGGAAATTCTTTCAGCCAAACCAAAGTATCTATAAGCTCATAATGAATATTTCATACACTTGAGGGGTAAAACAGAAAACAAAAGTGTAATTTACAAGTACTGCATTTCTTGTCTAAGCTTTACAATAGAAAAGTCTTGAAACCTTCATGAGAACCATGAATAGTTTTGATCAAATCTATATAAATCACAGATGGTCAAAGATATTCCTTTGATTAGTCACTAAAAAAAAATAAAGCAGAAGGAAAATCCCATCTCTACATGATATTAGCAACTAAAAAGATCATAAAAGAGAGTCAGTTCTTCAAGTCTACAAACAAATATATGAAAAAGTATATTCCTATTATTTCAAAATTCTCAAAAGTACACCAGCACAAATGAAAAACAGAAAGGAGACAAATAACTGGGATTTTAAATTTCATATCCAAGCTACTCATCCACAAAACTGAAGAAACTGCCAGTTTTAAAAGCTGCTCTTTTGAGTTCAAATATTAACAATATTTTGGAAAAAATAATAATCAAACAATGGTATGCATCTAGCTGACATCGTAGTTTTCTGCATGGAAAATTTCAAAATTCTGCTAGAATTATACTCCCAAAATGACCAAATTCTGCAAGGACTGCGACCATGTCTAAACTTCTTTTTCCATACTGCTTTAAATATAAGTACCAATTAATCATAAACTGAGAAGTAGCACTACAGACACAGTAAATACAATTTAAAAAACCCAGCAATTAGCAGCATACAATCTGTATTATCGTTTAGAAACACAAGCCCATAACATAAAATACTAGCAACAGTGTGACCCAAAGAAATGAGACACTATACCGGTAATTTCAAAACCAGGTGAGCTGGCAGTTTGAGCTATGTCATTGGTTGTCAGGAGGCGTTGAAGACAAAAAAGACAATTATGTTGTTTGAGAAAAAAAAAGCCCTAGGAAAAAGGGCAGAATATGTAGGAGAATTATGTGAAGGTAAAATACCACCGCGACCACAATCAAGCAACAACTATGGCCTCAACATTCTAAAGTCAGAAGTAGAGCTCGCAATTAGAATTAGAAACACCCCAGAAGGAAAAGCCCTGTGTGAAGATGAAACAAACACAGAAATGCCCATCCACCGTGGATTTACGGGTGTGGTCAAGTACCACATTACATACGTACTAACAACAGTTTTCCGCCAAACACATGTGTGCTTTAGGTAAACTGAATCTGACGTTCAGTGGCATTTGTTTTCAACGCATTCTTTCCTTTAAGGGGGGGGGGTGTTCCACCTGTTTTTGGTCAATCTGGGTCAAATTGGGTATTACAATATTTTTTGCCTTTACTCAGTCATTTTTTGTTGATTTGATTGTCCTTTGGCACAGTTGTAGCTAGTTGGATGCCCAACATTTTTTCTTCTTACATTGTTATTCTATCTTCACAAATTAGAGAGGTATCTCATCTTTTTCTTAGAAATATTTAATTTTTTAATTTTTGACACATTTTTCGCTACTCCTCTGAAGATTACAGGTGTATCTTGATGGCACTTGGCACACTTGTTGCCCTTAGGGGTGGTTACATTGCATTGTCAACGTTTCGTGACATCTATCTTGGTTTTCATTTTATGATAAAGAAATTTGGAAAATTGATCGTTTTCTGAATTTATGACAAGATTTGCACGATTCTTCATGTAACTCCAAGACGAAAAAAGATATCGAAAGATGCTGACAATATATAACTTATATGCCTCTTGGGTACATGTGTGCCACAGGACAATAAAATCCATCTGTAAATTTCAGAGGAGTATTGATTTGAAAACATGATGTGAAAATCCAATATGGCCGCTATAAAAATGGCGGCCATCTTGGATCCGGGAAACATTTTTTTTCATCGTAATACCTGTATCATGACGAAGTTGTATGCAAAGTTTAAGGTCTCTAGGTCCAGAAATAAAGGAGTTAGCTTGCTCGTGGGACCCCCTCCCTTAAAAAATGTATCCATTTTTGCTGAAAGAAAAATGTTGTCTCGCCTGTACTCCTATACAATAGCTGGAAGCGGCTACAAGCGCATGAACAATAGGATCTGGATAGAAGGCAGTGCAACTGACTGAAGTGTTTTTAGGCCATTCCCAAATGGGCTGATTTACCAATGTCATGCTCAATCTCTGCCGGAATAACAGGGAATAGGGGGAACAGCTGATTTTTCTTTCTTCATCCTTACTATCATCATTTTTGCCTCTACTTCTATTGTATGTTTGTCACTCTCTTGTGAACTGCTATTTCCGGGGTACCTTGATAGTCGAAGCAGCCTTTGCACTGTTGAGGCTAGAGAGGTGATAAGCCTGATTCCCCGTTTATACCTCTCTGTTGACATCCGCCCTTGGTACTCATATGATATGACCTATGCAGTTGTGAGCTCCATGAATCTGACTAAGTCTAATACGGGGTGCCCACTACAGATGGGATTGGCCGATCGCCCGACTTTTCAGTTTCAGGCGAATCTAGAGATCTATATCAATTGTTTCCAAAAAAAAAAGCGCTCTAATTTCCGGCTTCCGGTGAGAGGGAGATCACTCTAACGTCGTCAGCTCGATTCAGTTTAATTTTTTTTTCTCTCACAAATCTACATCTGAAAGCATAATAATGCTGCAAAATTTTTGAAAATTCTGCGGCCGATTGATCCATTTTTCCGTGGCCGCGCTCGCGGAAAACTACGAAGTCAGATCTAGCATGCACAGTTTCTTTACTGAACTGTAACTATGGATACAAAAAGAAATCAAGTACAAATGAATTTATGTCACAATAACTCAATCCGCTCCCTCTAATTAACATGAGAGGAATATTCACTTTTAGGTAGAATTGACAGAGACACTGACAGAGACCAAAGCTCTGATGATTAATTTACTTTAGGTCGCTTCATTACTCTGTTAGGAATCACAATCTCAAAATAAATTAGTGATATATTGAAAGCAGAGAAATAATTAAACAGAAGGAACACTGAGTGAATAAAATGAGAATGTGAAAGCTTTAATCATGGCTACTGAAAAGGGTAACTATGTCGTCAACATCGTAAGCGGTGTACATGTGCTTTAAAGGCATTTAAGCAAGGTTGGAGAAGGACAGTGGATGGGGGAAGAGGCTATGAATGTTGAGGGGGAAGGAGTGGGAAGTATCTTGGCAAAGATGTTTCACCTTGGACTTGTGCTGCTGTGCAGGGCATTCACAGTGTTGGCGCGACGAGAATGAACTTGGCGCTGACGAGCCAGGAAAGACTGACCCATTGAACAATTCGCCAGGCGTTCTTCAGCTGCCTGACGATGGAGCTGCATTCCCTGGAGGAAAGTAAGTTATATTCTAATGAATATAAAGAACCCTACTGTGAACACATTTCAAATGAATGACAATGAGAAGGCCCATTTTCATTGGTAGAACAAATAAATGCCTCAAAATGAAACCTGCAATTGACATTTTTTGGTGCCTGGAGGATGAAACAAATCAGTTGCCAATAAGAAAACTGTATGCCTAAACTTAAGATAAATCTTTATTTTATAAAGCAACAGCAGAAAATACTGGCAGTACAGGCAGATGGAAAATTCAAAATGTTATAAGCTTTTCCCCTCTTAAAAGAAGTTTGTGTTTTTTACAAAAGTAAGACCAGACTATATATTTTACAAGTAAATAGACCATAAGATGCATTGTCTACAGGTGTGAAATGCAGTCACGTCGCAGAAGCACATACCAGATTATACCACGCTGTGACAATGAGCCTTTCCTCCTGGTCTCTTACAGACTTCATCTTCTCCTGATCTTTCTGTTAACAGAGCATGCAGTGGAGTACTTCAGCATGTGCAAGAAAGAGATCTCATGACTACAAAAATACAAAACAAGTTCTTACACATTTCCGAAGAGATGCTTCAAGTAGGTATTTACAACACAAACTTTGTGACTATAAAATTGCAAAAACTAATGCATGAAATACGGTGCTGCAATCTTTAGCACCCATACAAATCACAAACAAATAAATATAAATATCTTAAAAATGCAGTTATGGGACTCTATGAGACAGAAAATTTATAAAAATATAGTGATCCTAATGAACATACACTTTTGTCAGTTGTGGTTTACTTCTGATAGGTGAAATGCAAATGCTACACTGGTGCAAAGTGCTAAAAGAACAAGACAGTACTGTAAGAAATATTGGTCAACCAGTGACAAGAAGACCAAAAATTATAGTACAAAATATCAAACACATCAAAGATAAAAAGGACCTCCCAAAAGCATCTCACATTAACACTAATCGGGTTCCATTTAAAAAACTTTTGTTTGACAAGCAAAAAATATCTGCAGTGCCCTATTATGATAAAAGTACCTCTATAAAATGCTAAAATATAAATTTCATTGAAAATACACTGCAGGTGAATCAAAATGAGGTGGGGAGGGGGACTATTTAGCTTTGAAATTTAATGGTTCATCAACATATGCGGGCATTGTAATGAAATCAGGCGCTCGACAAATACTGAAACTATAGATTAATCTCTATGCAAAACTGAAATAACCCAGAACAGTCTTAAGTTCACAGCACAGATATCCACGAAACAAATGTGCCTGCCGGAAGGAAAGACCACCTATATTCTGGGAATTATAATAACTTTTGCACTACTTTACTTTACTTTTTCATCCTCTGTTGCCGTTAAGCGTCAAGGGGAGATGCAGTTTTCTATGGTAGGCCAGCTCCGCAGCTCTTTCAGTTGTGATGTTATGTTTTGTTATGGTTTCCTTGACACCCTCGATCCACCTTTTGCGTGGCATTCCTCTTCCTTTATAGTCTGAGTGCTTGGTGTTGTAGGCTCTCAAGGCTGGCTGGTCAGGTGACATGCGTAACAGGTGGCCAAACCATTTTATCATCTGTCTTTCTATGTAACGCAGGCAGGACTCAGTGCCGATAGCTGCTTTTACTTCTTCATTTCTCTGCCTGTCTCGTCTTGTGATGTTAAGGGTTTTGCGGAGACATTTCATTTCGCATGCGGTGATTTTGCTTTCATGGGTTTTGCTTAAGGTCCAGGTCTGGCACCGATAACATAATGTTGGTATGAATATTGAGGTGATAAGCTGTCTCTTTGTGTCCATGGAGATGTTTGGATGAGATAGAAAAAAAATCTAAAATAACTCCCTTCGAGGACTTGTTGCTAAATTTGTTAAAAATGAAAAGAAAAAAAAAGGGGGGGGGGGGGGGGGGGGAGGCGGGGGATGATTGATTTTTATGATAAGTTAACTTAAATAGTTACCTCTAGGAAGTTAATGTAGTTGTCTTTTTCTTGAAGTTGATTTTTTAAGGCGAATACTTCAGTGGATGAATCATTTCCATGCCTTGGGTCAAGGCTCTTGATCACCTGACAAGAATGAGAAGGGATGATGAAACCAGTAAGACGGAAATGCTATCTGCCATTCTCTAATGCTCAAAGAAAGTTGCTATGCAACATTAAAACGTTTAAAATTATTCTATTGAAATAGTCAAGCTGGAAAAGAAGAGTCAAATCGAAAATTAGAAATAGACCAACACAACACATAGTCAGTTGAAACAAAAGAAAAAAGCCAACTATATACCAGAATCCTGGAGATGAGCAAGGGACTAAGTGCCTCAAAATACGTGGTCTAAGTATGATTAAATGTCAGTGTAATTTTTTTGGCTTGTAAAATCACAACCCCCCCCCCCCCAAAAAAAAAATAAAAAAATAAGAATGAAAATAAAATAGAGTACCAATAATAGAATCTGCCTAGAAAGTGGCTCAGCGTAAGATTTCCTGGTTCCTGGCGATCAATCTATAATATTTAGGTGAAGTTTCAATATAGTTTAAATTTGGCTCTTTGAGAGGAACACAATTTTTGTTTATATTTTTGTAGTTGTTGCATGATCACAACTCGGCAGTCTTCAAATGCCATAGAATGTCCACTGGGAAGACTTACATTTTTGGCTTTCTCCAAGTACTTGCGGTACTTCTCCTCCATCACACGGATCTCCTCTTCCTTACGAAGCAGCTGTTCTGACAGCTCCGTCACCTTATCATTAGCAGTTGCAGCCTTCCCACTCAATTCATCAATGTGTTGTTGTTTCTGTTGCAGCTGTAGATCCTTCTCCTCCAGCCGCTGTTTTGACTCGGACAGCTGTGTACGCATAGAGATGAACTCGCTGTTGCTGGCTGCCGATGTGGACTTCTGGTTTTCTTGAACGTCCTCTAGCTCAGCCTGCACTTCCATCAGTCTCTGGTTGAGGAGTCTAAAAGAGAAAAATCACATATTTTTTACCACAGGAATAAATTGTGGAGGGATGATTCTATATCAGAGGCTTAATTAAGTGTAATTACGGAAAAGTTTATCTTACAAATGACGTAAAAACCTTCGAATAAGTCCTTTTACTGTGGGGTCTGCAGTGTAGTGGTTAAGCTACGAGACTTGAAATTGTGAGGCTGCTGATTTTGGAGTTCGAGCCTCAGGCCTGACGTTGTGTCCTTGGGAAAGACACTTTACACAAATTTTCCACTCTTTACTCAGGAGTAAATGGGTGCCCGACCATAGACAGTGAATGATCTTGTCAGTCAGTATGTTAGTGTTTTGGAGACTAGAAAAGGCAGCATGCAGTATGCTTCCCAAGAAGTTAAGATTGTTTCAGAATACTATCAGATTAGCTGGCGTAATAATATAGATTGTAAAGCCCATACTGCCGTAAGCTGATAAATGCCTTAAAAAAAATTCACAGCAGTTTCGAGATACAGAAGCTTTTGTCAGCATAACCATTTAAAAAAAGGCGTTCTTTCAAAAATTTGAATTCTAATTGTTACAGTTTCACTTTGACTTTTTCACAAATGTAGGGTAACTGATTAGGCTTTCAATTTAGCAAATAAAAAAATTGGCGCCAAAAATAAAAAGGTGTTTTGACAGCATATGGCAGCATAGAGCTTGCTGTTGAGAGGGAATTTGCACTATATAAACGCGATCTAATATTATCACTGTTAAAGATTATTGAAATTCAATTGAAAGCCATTCTATCCTATTCATTTCTTAATCCGTTGTCGAGTGGCCGACCGGCCAGTAAGGTGGTCACATGTTTACTACACAGGACGTTATTGATTATTTGGAAGATTTTCTTAATAAGATGCTGGTAATGACGAAGACTACCCTGAGTAGGATATGGGATGTGATACTGAGGATGATACGAATGAACGCATGAATTGCTCAGGAGCTCAGGAAGGGGAGCGTGGAAGACTCAGGTGGTCAGGGCTCAAAGGATTAAACCTATTGCTGCAAAATGTGTGTTGACCAGTGTTACACATAAAAAACATCTCTTTTGTAATTTGCATTTTCACTTTTTGATGATTTGCAAATTTGTCTTCTTTTTGCGTTGTTTGTTGGAAGGCCTACTATTGCTATATATTACTATTTGATTGATATTTCGTCCCATTGGTATACTGAATCTGAACTCACATTCATTTCCTCTTTCTAATTAGGTATAAAACATTGTTGTAGCTTAATTTGGTGAGAAATTATAGCAATACACTATGTAATTGATCCTGAGCTCCATTTTGACAGACCAAAATCAAATTCCATCCCAGCGCAGAAAAATAATTTCTGAGACAAAGAGTTAAACCTCTCTGACATATATTCATATGTAAATGATGCTGAGCCCTATGTTTTGTGATTACATACTGGAAACATTTTTATAGAAAGTACATAATTCCTTCAGTTCTCTTGTACCTAAGTGTTGCTGAATGTGCATGGCTACAGCTCCTCTTGCAGGTTGGAATACAGCAAACTCATAATTTTCTAAATCATTGAAGAGACAAAAACAAACAAAACCGGACATATTGCTGTAGCCCCCATACAGTGGCCTTAGATAATATCCTGTTTCTTAACAGGGTTTTATCTTGGGCCCATCACAACTAAGTGACAGAATTTGATTGCCCAAGTGTGAACATTAAAAATGCAAGACTTTTTTTTGGTCTCTCCTGTTGAAGTTAAAAACTCAAGTTAACGAGTTTCCAACAGAGCCCTGGTGATAATTGAGCTAACCCCAAAGTTTGTAAACCTTAAGGTTTGGAAAATGGATGATATTAAAAAACTCTAATATCACTAAACGATTAAGTTCAATTTAAACTTTAAACCATCTGAAGTCGTGTGCCTTACAGTAATAAACACTTATTTTCATTATTTTGAGCCTTTTTCACTCATCCTATAACAAAGAACTCAGGTCCATGATCCTTTTGCCCTGAATGATATGCTGAAAAATGAACCAACAATTCATTTTCTTCGCACCTAGATATACAGCTGCTGAACCTGTCCTTGGCATGCACAAGCTGAGTTTCATTTGTAAACCATTTTATCACATATCTAATAACTATAATTTTACAGCAAAGGGAGTGTGTTGTAGGTATCCTCGCCTGTCATGGTGGAGACCAGTATGTTTTTCTCTCTCTTGATATTTCGAGAGAAGACCGAAATGGAGAGAAGAAAGACAAAAGAGGCACAGGGTCTGTCTGAGAAAACTGGATCAGAAAGAGGGGCAGAGAGAAAGAGAAATTATTTCATAAATTTAATGCTATAAAAACAGACATATTTTTACATGTCTTCGATATCGTCAATGCTAATTAAATATTTTTCCATCCATAGAAGAGGCATTGTACTAGAAATAATAGTAATAATGATAACGATAAATTTCAAACACAAAGCACATTTCCAGTACATAAGTGCTTATTGTGCTTTACAATAACATTGCTGGGGAAACAAAAATGAGAGACTACTTTCGACTTTGCACTGTGAGTAAAATTAATTTGAGTTTCTAATTTTTCTTTGACTGTGACGAATTACTCAAAAGAATCTACGAATGTAATTCTCTCACAAATTTTTATTTAAAAGAGAAACACCTCTCCTGCATGCCTTGTATCTATATGTTAGTATTTTAGCTACACAAACATTAGCATTCCTTGTACCAAGTTATGTGCTTCGTCATTCACATGTACAAGCAAAGCACACTGGGGACAAAGCCGTAATGGTGATCGTAGCCTCCTGCACTGCCTTTTGGAAGATGGTAAAGCATTTTGATATAATAAATGGGAAGTTAACATATTTTTTCCATACCAAATTAAGTAACAGAATAACAGATTTAGCCGCAGCTTTTAAAATTAAAACTAAATTTGTCACCAAAAGATGGGGGTGGTTCCTATTCCCCTTCCTATTCATAACGTTAGTTATATCAATACAAATGGTGAAATGGTATGGGTTTAACGCTCCTATCACCACTATTAGGTTATTGAAGGGGTGGGACCTCCTAGTTTAACGTCCGTCTCCGATAGGACCGAGCCAAGTGTCAAGTTCGTGTAAAGTGCCTTTCCCGAGGACACAACGTCGGACCGAGCCGAGGCTCGAACCTTATATCAATACCTAATAACGTGTTTACTACAAATGCAAAAAACCTTCACAAAACAAAGTCCAGAGCATCAGAAAATTTGTGGGAATCAGAAAAAAGATCACCCGAGATGTACAGAAACTGTACAAGTGGCATCCGAAAAATGAGTAGGACTATTGAACAACACTTTACCTGACTTCTGTCTCCAACTCGTTTCTCTTTGCATTGGCTTCATCAAGCATCTCCTGTGAAGCCAATGACTGTTCATCTTGTCCTGAGCTGTTCCCCATTTTCAACATTTTGTTCTCATGCTCCAGCCGCAGTAATCGCTCCCTGGGAAAAAAAGGTACACATATAATGCAGCCTGTACTTGTGAAAGAGGTGAAAAACTGAATACAGTAAAACTTGGACAAATGTGAAACTAAACAGTAAAATCTCAATAGCGCCCAAACACAAGGACCCACTCAACCATGAGTGTTTAAAGTCAAATACAAGTACATATTTAGTATGGAGTAACTTTTTGAGACAATTGCGAGTAGGGTACCCAATACACAGCATAAGTTTTACATATCCCGAAAGGTGAAATTAGGCTTTGCAATTAACCAAATGTCATCGAGGAAATGATCCCGCTTTTCAGGACGATCGAGGAATCATGAACATATTGCCATACTCTGATCCATGTCATCTCGGCCAAGCGAACATAAAAATGGTACAGTCGTAGGTTGAGATCTGCTTTGAGAATGCAGACTGTTGAGGTGTAGGAAAGTCCTAGCAGCAGGCATTGTCTGCGGACAAACGTCTCATGGGACTTGACTACTAGGCTAGTAAATATTGACATCAAACCCGGACATGAAAGATAACAACCAAATTTTTGCGCCAACTTGAACTTTGAGCTGTTAAGTACTACCAAATTCAACCAAAATTGCCCTTGGGGAACATGCTTAATTTTAACCTAATAAAAGTAAAAAAGGTCCATTTTCGAATTCGTTAAAAGATGTCATTACTTGTGCAGAATGAAAGAGATAGTCAAATGAAACACAAAAATACTTTTATTTTTAAAATTGACCTAATAGTTATCACTTAATTAGCATTTAAAGATTATAAAAGGTCAAGGTCATAGTCAAGGTCATCTTTAAAAATAGCTCAAATATGGTCGTGTTTGGTATCAAATTCAATGTCTCAAAAAGAAAAACACAGAATTTATGTTGTTTATGCAATTACCTTACATTTAAGTTACCTATTGGCGGTAAACACATGATTGAAATAATAACGTTAAACGTTTAAAAACAAAAAGATAAGGTGTGGACAAATAAACCTAAAAACTAAATCCATGTTCGGGCATAGCATGCAGCTCGGCTTTTGTATGCCAAGCTTCATGAAAATTTGTTGGTAAATATGAGACTATAAATAAAAATAGTAAAGTCAGGGTGAAATAAGACCTTTTCGTGATTTCCCATTTGGAACTCACCCCTCCCATTTCTAACCGATTGTTTGAGTTATGGTTATTAGTGTATGACTTCTGTTGTGTATGAGTTTCCTTCTTCTAGATTGGTTGCTCTGTAGAGCTATAGAGTTCTTCCTGCCCTTGTTACAGCCTAGTTCGGGAACATAAGAAGAAGTCTGTTTGCGTTGATTTGTAGAGAGCCAGTCCCCTTCCACTCCATCCGTGTCGTGGGCCAGGAACACTAAATGTGTAAACTAGAAGATACTAAGCTCGGCGGTCCCTTCCCTAGGCTCAATTTAAATTGTGTCCATTTCTGAAGCATTTTCATACTGTCCTCAGCAATGACGATGTATACTGCAAGGGATGTTGTACTCCAGGCAAGTACAGGATTTGCACAGTGGAGTGCTGCTCTTACACGAACAGCGGGTTTCACGTAATAGTTCATCTGGGGCCGGATCATTGTCAGTTATCACTGGACTCACATTGTTGTCACTCACAGTAAAGTCGTCATAAACAAAGTCAAAGACAGTGCGCAGATTAAGCCATGTAGCAACCTGGTGATGCACTCTAAGGGCATGAAATTCTGCGGCTCTCTGCTGGAGCCATCCGTTCAAGTGGCACATACTTTGGGGAGATGAACTGTTGATATCGAATATCAGTAAGGCTCAGGTTTTGCGGTCCACTGCAGTAAAGGAATGACAAGAACTTGACTCCTATGTCTGTGATGTCCTTTACACTGGCATCTGTTTGTCCAAAAATAGTGGTCTTCTGTTGCCAATGCCCTGACTTTTGCAACACTTGAAAGCCTTAAGCTTACCCATGCCGAAGACAGTAGACTTTGTGTCACATCCTGACACGGCATGTGCAACCAGGATACAGCAGCACATGTTCTCACCTATGGTCATTTTAGCAGCTTGAATAGAAATTATTTGGACGTTACTTCGCTTCAGATAGGTAGACTTTCATGTCCTTGTTCACATGATACAGAAGCATTACCAGTATATCTGTATCGTTAGCCAAAACAACCACGGGTAAACCTTCAGCTACAAACTGTAACACTTTTCTCTCAATGGGTGTGTCCGCATCCCCTTTTCCTCTGGCATGAGCAACACAAATGTCCTCTTCTTCTAATAACGACCTAAGAGTAAGAGTTGCACCAGTGCTTGCTTATTCTGAAGATTGGTACGGAACGAATTTTTGTCAGTCTACAGATTTGTGCTGTGATGAAGATCAACTACTGAATGTGGTGTGTACGCAGTCTTCCTTCTCTTTTGCTCAGGTGCTTTGGTAGTTATCGTTTCACAACTGTCAAAGACGACACACAGTTCAATTTAGGGGGGGCTCTCGTGGCCTAGAGGTTAAGGTGTTGGCCTCTCATTCAAAGGTCCCGGGTTCGAATCCGGTTCTCTAAAATTGTCTCCTTTCATCTGCTTTCCTGCTCTCTAGCAATGTTCTGTTGTCTGCTTTCATTTCCACTTCCTGCTCCCACCCCCTCACCTCCTTTGCCCCCTCCTCTGGGCTCCTGACTCTTTCTGCAGCCTTTCTACTGCTACTCCTTGGCTCCTCTTTACTGCTGTCTTTCTGCCACACCCCTGATCTTCTGGTAGGAAAGATCTACACCTAGCCTTCTCGGACAAGGGCGAAAAATCTCGGAGGGCCCGTGTGCAAGTTGCGCACGTTAAAGATCCCTTGGTGGTCTAAAATCGATAAGAGTAGGCTTCGGCCGCCACCCGGACAAAATTCAAAATTTCCTACCAACTGAAAATATTAGGTGTGTCCTGCACGCTCATATGACCTATGCAGTTGCGAGCGCCGTAAAACACTTTACAAAAACAAAACAAAAAACAGTTCAATTTCTGCTGTCCTGTTGTGGAGCAAACACTTGACGAAACCTTGCCATAGCACATACCAGTCGTTTCAGCATGTACTTTCCAGCCAATTGTAAGTGCATCATCAACGATGACCCAGCTATCAGCGACCACACCAGCTTTAGAGATATTAATGAAAGTACCTTTCCCTGAATGTTTGAACTTGAACATACTGTGCGCCTCCAGAAAGGACACAAACTTCTTCAGATCATCAGTGTCGCGTCTCCGAGAAGCCAGGCGCATTTCTCTGTGTTGCTCTTTGAAACTACAGTCGTCGTCCGTCCGTCGGCTCCTTCTGTCTCGGGAGACAATGGCTGCGTCTGTTCGTCACTCCTTTCCAGAACAGTGCTGTCATCCGTGTTGTGCTCTCATCTTAGATGAGACTGGAGTGACCTCTCCAGGGCGCAGGTCTGGGCGGAGGTATGTAGAGGTCCAGTGCTGCCCAGACGACAGGGCCCCCCTGTCAGCATTACCGGCGAGGTCCAGTGGAATGCTTTGCGGAGCCTATAAGGCTGCAGGAGTTGCCAGAAGGAAGTCACGACTGAGCTCCCAACCGCCTTAGGGACTCCACTCCGGATTTTCTTTCTGGATTTACTTCCATAGCCTTGTCCTTAATGGATATGGCCGCAAGGCTGCGGAGGTTTTAAATCAGGGTTTTCCTTCCCCTAGACAAACTGCCATCCCAGGCTGTCTACCTCCGTCTATTTGAAGCAGCTGGATTTGAGGCGCCAGCGACTCGCCTTTGCCCTCCTGTCAGTGGTAACGGTTCCGCTGCGAAAAAGGCCAGTAGCCTAGTAATTCCGGTTAAAGTTCTCAATGCATTCGTATACTGAGCAATGATGTGGGGACCCATAAGCCATTTCATTTTAGCCAATTCTTTGTGTGTTAGGCAGATAAGGTCACCTTGTGTTTTTTCAGCTCGCATATGACATTATTCAATTGTCATGTCTGTCCACGTTCCATAACCAACAGATCTAGAAATCTAAGGATAGATCTAGATCGACATAGATTAGATCTAAATAAAGCTAGATATACCCCTAGAATCTGTTTTTTTTTTTCTTCTAATCTATCTCCACATTATAAAAAATAAAATACCAAAGAAAAGACAACTTTTTCGTTTCAGTTGTTCAACCCTAAACGCCTTTGCAATCTAAACGATCCAGAGGAAAACTCAATCAACAGCTAAATTGGTAAATGAAAGTAACGAATAGGCTATAAATTAACCAACAATAAGGAGAGTCCGAATCATTGTACATGTACATGTATCTTAAAGCCGCTACCAAGTAAAAAGAAATCTTTACAGTAAAGGCATATAGAATAGTTGACACCATAAATATAACAATGTTGCTCTAAAAATACTTCACGTGACTTGTTTAGATCTAGATCCTTTAAGAGCGTTTAATGACATTCAAAAGAAACAAAATTAATACTGCTAAACGTCATTTCATCAAAAGACACAGCAAAAGGGATTCATAACAAGACGAGGGGACTGTTTTGCACATTGCGCGACCTCAGTGCTTTCTTGCCGTATTTCCATTTTTAAACAGTGAAAATGGGACTTCTTCTTAACCTTACTATTTGTTATGAACTGTTTTCACTGTTTTTTTAAAGGAGATACGACAAGAAAGCACTGAGGTCGCGATTGATTGAACCGCTGTGACCAGCTTGTAGCTGACATTCTGTGTACATTTTGTGTACCGGTGTTGCCATAAGCGTTTTTCACCATTTTATTTTTGCAATTGCCCATTTCTTGAGCTTTTTGTTCAATTGAAACATGTTCCCCATGGTTGATTTTGGTTGAATTTTTTGTGGGTATACTTAATACCCTAAAGAACAACTTTACACCAAAATTTGGTTGTTATCTCTCATGTCCGGGTTCATACCATTTTCATGTCAATTTTTACTGGCCTATACTGAAATCTTCACCCTGGTGACATTTGGAGGGCTGCGAATAATGCATGTTCCACCTGAAGTGGTCATTTTGTTAGGGAAATTTTAGTTCTGATTTGCTATAGATCCAAACTGACGGAACTTTTCTACTCATGACATCAAAGGTCTTGAGGGCACTTTAGCATTCTTTACATGCTGTGTGTGAAACTTACAAAATGTCAGCGATGGTGAGTTTGTGGAGAGGTAAGGTAAAATACAAAGAGCTCTCTGCTCTTTATTAAACTGAACTATGATCTCAGAAGGCAAATAATTTTGGAAAAACAATATCTGCAAAATTCTGTTGACTTGTTAGACTGCATTAGCATGCAATGTGGCGTGTTCATTGCAACTTTTAGTGGTAGGCCTAAGGCAAACTGGTGCACCAAGCTACCAAAATGGGGACAAGGTTGAAAAAGTTTTTTTTTTTAATGCGCCATATAGAGCAAAACCTGTCAGTGGACTTATCTAAAATGAATATCCGGCAAATTCCTTTTGGCTTTCAAATATTGTAATTTGAAAAGTAAAACTTCAATATGGAGGAAGATATTTACAAAACAATCCCGTACTTTAAGATTGTCAAGATGCAAAAGGTCATCATGCACTTAAGAAAGAGGCTTATACAGCAAAATGTTGACAGTTTGTCACTGCACTTAGCTTCAAAGTTCACAATTAAGGTCCCAAGTCAAAGGACTGCTTCCCTTAAACACTATGATTTTGAAGAGTGTGCCTTGTCATTCTGAACCATAACAATGTTGTGAGTGCTGTAAAACTCTTACAGAACAAACTACAGATGAACCTGCCTTGACAGAAACCTGCCATAACTGAATCTCCCCATCCCCTCCCCCTTTGATAAATTTCTCTATAATTTATATTACATGCACGGGAGGAGTGGCATCGGTTCACTGAGTTTATTACACCGATTGATGGGTCCAAGGGTCCAAGCAAAGGTGATATTCAAATGCTTCTGTTTTTAATAGGTCACACAGTGCTCCTATGAAACGCAAGAACTGATGGCAATAGATAAGTAGGACTGACATATTATCAGAGAGGATTCACTTGAGAGGTGTGAAGTATTTTTGTTTTTTAAGTAAGAGTTTTACGGCACTTGCAACACAATAAGGTCATATAAGTGATGAAGATTAGATTACGTGTTACAAGAGAGTAACATACCCCAAAAGAAGGAGAGGAGATAAGGGCGACAGATGTTTGATATGAAAGAAGGAGCAAACCACACCAGAGCACCCGCCAACCACCCATTGGTGAGAAGTTTTGACCACTGCTTGCCGACCCGACAAGCGACCCTTGATCCCACCGGCTGGGCCTCTGAAACCCATTCCCTGGTCTGAGACGGAGAATGTCCAAGATGGAACTTTTGTGTGACTCCCTTGTCTTACACAGGTTCAATTGTATAACAATGAAACCAATCCCGTTTCTGGGCGTAAAGATTGAATCATTCTCCTTCCTTCTATTCTGCAACATTATTAAAAAAATATAATCTCAGTCAGCTCACGTTTTCCTGGGCCAAGTTAAATTTTAGCAGAGTACAATTTTTACGTGAGTATGAGAATATACAATTATAGATAAAAATCAACTGAGTACTAAATCAACAAGGAAAGCAAAAGAAGCCAGATAAAGGGACAGTCTGCTATCTGAAATATCAGATTTCATAAAATAAAAGCGTTTACAGCTTTTGACTTATCAAAGGCAGTGATGGGTTGGAAGCTAGAGGAAAAATGAAGAAGTCAGAAAACAACTTTCAAGAGAACACTGCAACTGGAGGGGCAGCAATAGACAACCACAAAGAGGAAAAACATTTCGCGACAAAGACAAAGAGCTATGCGCCTTAACCACATGTGGCAAGTTTGATACCAGGCAACAAGTATGCCCAAGAGAAATGGGCTATAAAAAGCTAAACGAGTTAAACCAAACACCCAAACATGTAGGTTGCATAGTGTACAAAAACAGTTTGTCCCCTGACACATGCCCCAGGTCCTTAAATTCTCTCTGACGTTGAGCAGGTGTGATCAGCGTGGTTTGGGGCTGTTCAAATATATAATCTTACACCTTCTCTGGGACTTTTTGCCCTCCCCCCTACACTTTTCTTACACCCCCCCAAAAAAATCCCGTAATATTACATTACTCACTTAAAATAATATGACATTTATATTGCGCAAATCCGTGTTACAATCACTCTTCTATGGGCTTTACTTTTATATAATAGTATTCATGAAAAACATGCATACACACATGTGACATAATAATTAACGGAGCCAATAATTAAACAGGCCTACGGTACACATGGAACATTTTCGGAAAAATTTACGGTGTCATTTTACCACTTTAATCGCACTTGTGTAATCAAAATTAGACTAAGATATATATCTACATGTCATGTAGCCTAGATATCTTCTTCTTCTTCTATCCCGTGGTTGGGGCAACCATGGGGGCACCACTGCATCTGAAAACCAGCTCTCGCCATCTATTTTTGTCCTCTGTTTTCCTCAGATTGTCACCCATCGTCTTTCCTGTCCACTCTGGAATGTTGTCCTCCCATCTCCTTCTCTGCCTTCCTCTCTTTCTCTTTCCTTGTACGGTTCTTTGCAGGATTGTTTTGGCAAGTCCTGTGGATCTTGTGACATGCCCATACCATTTTAATTTTCGTCTCTTCACTGTGGTCAGTAGATCTTCATGCTGTCCCACTGCATTGGAGATTCTTTCGTACCTCAGCATTTGAAACGTGGTCTTTGTACGAGATGTCAAGGAGTCTGCGGTAACATCTCATCTCTGTGGTCTGAATCTTTTTCTCCAATTCTGCTGTCAGTGTCCACGACTCACAGGCGTATAAAAATATTGAGATGACAAGTGAGCGCATTAGTCTGATTTTTTAGTTGTGCGTGATGTTTCTGTCCCTCCAAATAGGCTTCAGTTTTGACAGCGCAGCTGTTGTTTGCGCGATTCTGAGAGAATTTTTGGCCTTGAGCCTTCATCTGAGACGATTGATCCAAGGTATTTGAAGCTGTTGACGGTCTCAAGTTTCTCGCCCCTGACTTTGATGTCCGCGTTGATGCCATTGGTCATTAGCTTGGTTTTCTCGGCACTGATCTCCATGCCGTAGGCTGCTGAGGTTGTGTCCAGCCGCTCTACTAGTGTGGCGAGCTCCTGTTCTTCTCCTGCTAATCCATCAACGTCATCGGCAAAACGCAAGTTAGTGATTGTCCTGCCTCCAATACTGATTGTTCCATTGTGGTTTTCCAGAGTGTCATTCATGATTCGTTCTTGGAAGATGTTGAAGAGAGTGGGAGAGAGCAAACAGCCTTGCCTCACCCCGACCGTTGTCCTGAACCAATCCCCCATGCTGCTGTTTGATATCTACCAGTGTATAAAGTGTGAGATGGCATATTGTGCTTGCCGCTCGAGGACCTACTGTATCGCCACAATAGCGTGTTTACCGCTCTAAGTTACTCTTGTTATTTAAAAAAAGATGATGTTGTCATAAATTATTTTCCTTGTTATTTTTTCACCTTACAAAAGTGAAATCTTGCATTGGTTCAAGACCCCCCCCCCCTCTTACTCCGCCCCCCCCCCTCCTTTTCAAGGCGCAAGATTATATTTGAACATCCCCTTTAGTTTAGGAGTTTTCTGGATGAATCGATCCATGTCTAGATCTAGATCTACCCTCCTAGCCTAAGATTTAAAGTCTTTCACAAATTTTTATACTAGATCTATGTACCTGGTGCTACGGAACCAAGCAAGGTAAGTAATCTGACGATCGTGTTTACGATTAATTTAGGCTACTCAGATTCAGATCTAGATCAATCTAGAACTTCAACATGATTCAGTCCAAACATGACTATTGGGGGGTCGGGTCGGTTAGCTTGCCAGATTAATGGTGCAAAGCGGCTACCGTGGCACAAGTTGATCGCGCCCGACTCGTTGCCTAAAAAAACAAACACACTGTTTTCAGGTGACGAGTCGGGCGATCATCCCGACCCGACCTGATCCGTCCCGATCCCATCCGCAATGAGTGAGCACTGGGCACTGGGCGAGCACCCCGTAGGACAAAGGAGCGAGAATTGTCCCCCTTGGCCTTGTTATTTTTAGTCGTGGAAGAAAGCTAAAATTCATGAATTCACGAAAATGGCAAAAGTTGCGCTGAGGGCAAAAGTTGCACACCCAACTTGCGGGTTCTATATTACAGTGATTGTACTCTGTTAATGTGGAGATGTTTGGTGCACTTGGGACTCTTTTATTATCTGTCAAATATGGGAGTGCAGCCAGTGAGCGATTTTAAACAAATTTGATCAAATTTTAAAACAGCTACCATTTTCTTAAAAATTGACTGAGAGGTTAAAGAATGGTACCGAAATTCTCAGGAGATATAGGCCTTTCATATGGAACAGATAAATTTGGCATACAGCTACTTTGAAAATTTATTTTCTGGTACCTACTACATTCCCCCTTGCTTTTTTTCTATACTCTGATGACAAAAAGAGGACTATCTATTAAAGATGACCCCATTTTTCCTCAATGATGGGTGGTCATCTAAGAAATGTTCAACAATGTTCAAAACAAATAGGACAATTACAAATTCTCTTATTTCTTATTCCTTACTTGATTTCCGGAGGCACAGAGAGCATCTCCATGTTACTGCTGGAGCTGTCCAATTCACCAGCAACAGGGAGCCCTGAACTTTGCATTTGTGAACACTTTAACTCTTCATTCATCTCACGCAGTGAGTCCCGCTCAGTCAGCACACGCTGGGGTGGAGGAGAGACCATGGATAGGACTGAGTGCCATACCACTAGCAACGTACATCAAACATGACAAAAAACATTTTTTAAAAATATCTTTATTCTCATGGTAAAGCAATGTTCCCAATGTAAGCCTCTGTCAACTAGGATCAATCCAAAATTGCTCACTGTGGTGTGACATGTTGACGTACTGGAACAAAAAGTTTAAAAACAAAGGTCACATTGGAGAATTATTGCCCTTGGTTGTTGTTGCAGTTGGCATAACCCTGAAGTAAGGTGTTTACCCTTCTCGTTATATCTAAAGTCCAGCATCCCTGAAAACTAGTGGGGAAAGCATTATAACAATGTTAACAAAAGATTGATTGAGATTACTTTCCGATCATGAACAGACTGCTGCAAGGCTTTCCTGGGACTGAAAATACTGTACTAAAAAAAATGCCACATCCAAACCAGTCAGATTACCCGGTTCCTTCGATTTCATGTTAAAATAAGTCTTAATAGAAAAAATTGTTTAAAAATAGAAAATAAAGAGGCTTACAAATTTCTCATTTCTGAGAAAGATGTTACCTTCAGCAGCTGCAAAGTTGCACAATAGATATATTATATTCAAACAAACCAGTGCTTTTGAGGCAGTTTTCTATTCAGCTTTATGCTAAATCTCAATAGTATAAACACTCACCCTGAAGGTGATAAATAAAATCGTTCATTAATATGGATAGCAGCATCCATTACCTCCACAGATAAAATAGGAAAGGGTATCATACTTGTGATACACTGTTCATTAACAAGATTTTAAAAAAGCATTACATACCTCCTTTTCCCTTTGGAGTGTGGATAATTTTTCTTGCATCCGCTTGTGCTCAAATTCAGCTTTGTCTGCCCTTTTCGTCTCCTCAGCCATTTTGTTTTGTAGTTCTAATGTCTGCCTCTTGTAAGACTCTAATTGTTGCTTGAGGGATGTCACACGCTTCAGTTCCTTTTAACAGAAAAGACTTGACTTCTAACAAAATCCTCCATTAAATTGAAACCAATACACACAACTGAACTGTAATTACTGAATTATTAAAAAATTCACAAATCTACTTTAAAAAATGAAAGAGTTCATATAAAAGAAATAATGCAGGTTTTTGCTAGTATTTCTTACAAGATTAAAAAGAGGAATATATCTCAAGTAGACTAATTAACCCCTCGATTGCACTGTAAATGCATGTCATATTTCTTGATAATCCACCGCCCAGTAGTGCTGTGCAATTTTGAGGAAATAAAACGTCACCGACGCTTCGAAGCATGAGCTCACCTATTCTTGCCATTCGAATACCACCGTCAAATGTTTTTTCTTTTATATCATAAGTCCATCCCTAACTTCCGCTTTTGAACTGTCGTTAACTATTCACAATGCCAGTCACTGAGCGTGCCTATGTTTTCTTGCAGACAATGACATCATGTCACCATTCATAATGCTTTGAATTTTGAACAACGGAAGGGGCAGCTCATTGTGGCAGCAAATTTCATGGAAAAACATTCGCTGCACTTCGAAAGTCAAGGGGTGCCCTTGCTTGAGATATTCATGGTGTGACGAGTGAAAATTGAAGAGTAATGGATACTCTTTAGAGGCATGTATTATAATTCTTGCGGGCTCTTATCACTCTGTCTCGTAATCACCAAGTAAAGAGTATTTCTGTTTTCATCTCAATGATTTTAGATATAACTAGCTGGGCTCCCTTTCGATGAAAGGAATGATCGGTGAATTAACATCAACTGAAAGTCATTGGCCTACTATATTTACACTCTACTGGAATGAAGCAATAAATCTTGAGAGGAAAGCAACACATCTGTTTCCAAGTTGACAAATATATAATAGATGTATAGATCTAGATTGATTCTCTATTCCGCTTTCGTAGTTGTACACTCCATAATTTCAAAGGTGTGGGACCAATGCGCACGGCTAGTGAATGGAAACCTCACTTGTTTACAATGGCGTCTTAGAAGACGGACTTTCCCAAGATTGTGTGGACGAAACAAAGAATTTTGGAAAATCGGGGAAAACGGCGTGGATTTTTGAAAGTTAGGTTCTAGCCACATGGATGTTGTGGACGCCTACAAAGTTTCATCACAGTCGAATTTAGCACTAAGTAAAAAAAACAACAACATGAGGCAAGATCTATACGGGTCGCACACTTAAAATAGAGCTCAGTATTGCGCGATAGTATCGAACGGAAGTACGACTTGAAATAAACAAACCTGGCGGATTTTCAAAAATTACAGACAGAAGCGTCTGCCTACAAAAGCGATCGGCGAAATAAAGAAATTTAGCTTTTTGCAGGAAAACTGTCTCAAAACTGAAAAAAATGAAGGGTGTCATGATCTGGAGAATATCTTAAAGAATCTTTTGGCGAAAACCGCACGTCGATCGATGCAGCCATTAAAAAGCCTTTTGAATAGCAAAATTTGGCCACCGCAAATAGATAATAGATATCGTTGCCGTCGTGCACCAACCCTGTAAGCAACAAAGTTTTCAAAATCCACTTTTTTTGCTTATATGATTCTGTATAACATACAGTATGTCCCAGTCAAACAATATTTGACACAGGTGAAAAATAAGTACATTAAAATACAAATGAAAAAAACTCCTATCTCCAACTGCGTGAAAGCCGTCGGGCAAAAAACCTGTAAACACCAGCGAGGCACATAATTGCTTTGTGCCCGGCGGCCCAGCATGATCAGGCGTCGCGCCGTGTCACTTGTTCGGTAATATTAGTGAGCCTAACAATAGTGTCATGCCCGACAGCCCATCTTACGCAACAGTTTCGCAACCGTGCTGCTTGCGTTGGGTCCTTTTTTTTGCATAGTGGGTCGAGAACAAAGAAGGTACTTTTCGCTGGAAAGCCCAGAACATTGCCCAAGACGAAGGAACGGATTAAGTATCAATAAGGTTTTTCACACTTCAAGCAGAAGATCAACAAACAGTCAAATTAAAATGCCATGCCACATTAAACATCGGAAGGTCTATGCCCATGTATGGAAAAAGCCTTCCTTCACGTCTTCCTAAGTACCAATAATGTTTTTCACACTTCCAACTGAACGGCAGCCTCTTTCCTTAACTACAACAAAGTAAATATTGATAAAATGCAAAGAGCAGCAAATCAAACATGCCATACCGCATTAAATCTATATTCATATTTGGACATGGAAAACAGCCTTAATGCCCGCGTACACTAATCACAGGTTAACACCTAAACGTGTTAAAATTCCGAATTTGTTCTCCCTCGTTACCAATAAATCAACACACTTTGCCAACGCACTTTGCCAACGCCTGGCGGCTTTCAATGTGGTGTTATATAAGACTGGTTTGTATGACCATTAATAGTGTTGGGAGACCAAATTCTTTTTTGTGTCTTGAAAATTGTGTATTACTGTATACTGAAAAACTCATGCGGTCATTCTTCACTAAACATGTTTCCCTTCATCAGGGGCCAACGTTTGGTCCAGTTGTCACTTTCGAGATCTGAAAAATGTGCTCATCGTCAAGACAAGAATTCTTCCCCCAAAATGTTGCCACTTAATATACCTCAGAATGAGATATTTCTGTGTCCTGCTTTGACACGTCGGATTTTTCAACACCACGCAGAAATTCGTCGGTGACCACATTTGATCAACCTGAACCAACTTTAACCACTTTTGGAGAGCTTCAGGGGCGGGCTTCTTGTCCTGCCCTTTCAGTCATAACGAGTTCTCTGGATGTTATGTTGTAGTCTGACGTCACTGTAGTTTCAGTTGATCATATTGCTGTCACAGCTGATGTTACTCCAGCTCCAGTTGTTGCCATTATCAACACAACCGACATCCCCTCAGCATCATCTACCGACGCAGTCGACGTTCCCTCAGCATCATCTACCGACACAGTTGACATCCCCTCAGCATCATCTACCGACACAGTCGACGTTCCCTCAGCAACATCTATCGACACAGTCGACGTTCCCTCAGCAACATCTATCGACACAGTCGACGTTCCCTCAGCAACATCTATTGACACAGTCGACGCTCTTCTAGCATCAGATGCTGGCCCTGTGGACTCAGTCAACGACCTCCCGGTATCAGTTGCTAGCACGGGCAGCGGGGTGCTACCACCAATCTCCTGCCTACCCGAGCCACCTGCAGAAGCTGTCCCCGCAGATGAAGAATTCTCTACCTTGACTCTAAAACCAGGGAAAAAAGGTGTTGAAAATTGGCAGAGAAACAAACGGAAATTTCTCAGGGAGTCGGGGCAAAGCTGTCTCTGCCAAGGGCGCCCAAAGACCAGCACATCAACTTCTGGAACCTTGCAACCAAACCTGCAAAGGGATGGAGTGCAATTCTCTTTCAGACGAAGACAGAGCAGAGATCTTTGACTGTGTGTGGTCACTATCATGGGAGAGTAAAAAAGCGTACGTCAACGGTCTAGTTGACAAGGTTGATGTGAAAAGGAAGCGGACAACTTCGGAAGTATCAAAAAGATCCTGCTCATATCAATATTTCTTGAAGAAAGGTGGAGTAAGAGTTCGTGTATGCAAGAAAATGTTTACCAGTACTCTAGCTTTAGGGGACTGGATGATTCGAAATTCCACTGATTCCTTGCAGTCAGATTAAGAAAGCCCTGCCAAACGCAGTGTTAAATCTTTTGTTCAAAGTGATGAAAAAGTGTTCCTGGTGAATGAATTCTTTGGATTATTACCTAAACTCCCATCTCACTATTGTCCTAAAACCTCTGCAAAGCTTTATCTGGAGCCTCACTTTCGTTCTCTGGCCGATTTACACAGAGAGTACTTGAAAAAGTGTGAAGAACTGGGCCGCAAGGGCTTGGGACTAACGGTGTTCAAAGAGGAGTTTCACAAAAATAATTTGGCGCTACATCTTCCCCGAAAGGACCTATGTGACTTATGTGTGTCCCACAGCGTTGGAAACATGGACGAAGAGACATGGAAACAGCACATGAGACTGAAGGAAAGAGCCTTTGCTGAGAAGGAGATGAACAAGAAACTGTCTCTTGAAGGGTCAGCTGACGGAGTCAGGACTGCTACCATTTGTATGGACTTGGAATCTGTCCTTCTTGCTCCCTCTCTTCAAGCATTTGCCATCTACTACAAAACAAAACTCACAGTACACAACTTCACAGTCTACGATCTAGTCTCCAAGGACGTGCAGTGTTACGTGGCATGAGGGAGAAGGTGGGCTCACTTCAAATGAATTTGCATCGTGTGAGGTAGATTACCTAAACGCTAAAACTGAAGTGGACTAGATAATCATTTTTAGTGATGGATGCATATATCAAAACAAAAACGTTGTACTTGCCAAAGCTATTAGTGACTTTTGTGCACGCACTGGTAAGACAGTGGAACATAAATATCTTGTCAAGGGACACACGCACATGGAAGTGGATTCCTGCCATAGTCTTATTGAGAGAGCAGCAAAAGGTGTTCCGGCATCATGGGTAGAGCCGGGTGCAACCCCAGACCCTTTGAGGTCAAGTACCTTGATCACACATTTTTCAAGGATTATTCCAAACTCGGACCATACAAAAGTGTGAGGCAAGGTCGTGGGAAAGGTGACCCACATGTGGTGGACATTCGTTGTCTTAGGTATACGCCTGATCGGAACATATCCTTCAAGTTGACATTTGATGAGGACTGGAAGGATACTCCTCGGGGAAGAGGGCATGCAGAGGTAGCCGCTGAAAAACCAGGACCTCTTTACACAGCGACCTTGAAGATCACAGACGTGAAATTGAAACACCTCCAGGAACTAAAAGCCGTTATCCCTAAAGACCACCGTGCATTCTACGATAACCTTCAGCACTAAATATATTATGTATAATATGTGAATTTTAAATATTCATTTCATCTGCAGCTGAGAGGAACAGAGGGTGAGAGAGAGAAAGAGAGAGTGAATGAGATGATAAAAGATGATACAGAGAGAGAGAGGGGGGGAGAGAGACAGAGA